CCAGAAGTGGTGCTGTGGCTCAAGTGGTAGAGCGCTAGCCTTGAGCTGAAGAGCTGAGGAACAGTGCCCAGGCTCAGAGTTCAGGCCCCACGACCGGACCCCCTCCCCCCCCCCAAACAAAAAAAAAGCTTAGGAACAGTGCTCAGGCCCTGCATACAAGCCCCAGGGCCAGCATGCGCATGGGTGCTCACATGGGTGCATGCACACACGCGCGTGCACACACACACACACACACACACACAATGTCTTTGTAATGTACTCATCATTAATAGTGTGGTAATTGTTCAACAGAAATGTAATTACTATATTCAAATTGCCCACGATATATTTTGCTTATTTGTTACTGGATTATAAAACCTAATAAAGAAATAATGCTGAATGAGCAGTGTTGTTAAAGGTACATTTTAGAGGTAAAAATATCACCCATGGTAGTAGGGAGATTATAGGCTCCATTTCTGGGAGCAGCCTCTCTTATTTGCTCCTTCTGATTTGCCAACTCTCATTTATACATTACAGGTGTGTGCACAGGGCCAGTTACCAGTTGTCAGGAGCAGTATCTTAGGTGCCCTTTGATAGGTGTCTGTAACAAGGGATGGCAAAAAGCTAATCATATAAGCAACCAGCTATTGAGCATCTTCTAGGAGCCAGGTATGGTTCTAAGTTTTATATATGTGATCTTAATCTTTAAAACTGAAACAAAAAACAAATTATTTGTCCAAGGCCACAGCCTCCTAAGCAAAAGAACCCAAGGATGAATGAAGAGGACTAGCAGACCAAGACTGGAAAAGTGCTGGGCTTCTTTTTCTCCTTTCTTCCATTCTTCTTTATTCTCCCTCTTTTGCCTTTTTCTTTTTGCTATTGCCTCGAATCATTTTTCACCGCCTTTTGCCTTAAAATATATACACTTTCATGTACTTCATCTCTAACATAATAGACATGGAGGATTAAAGGTAAATTCAGATAGATGAATAGATTAGAAAATATGGAATATAATTCCAAGATCTAAAAGCTCTAAGATAAGTCATTATCTTAAATTACTTTGCACTGGTGGCTCATACCTGTAAACCCAGCTACTCTGAGGAGGATGAGATCTGAGGACTAAGATTTGAAGCAAGTCCAGACAAAAAAAAAGTACATGAGATTCTTCCCTCCAGTGAATCAGTGGAAGTATAAGTGGTAGAGAACCCGTCTTGAGGGAATAAGCTAAGTGAGAGCAGGAGGCCCTAAGTTCAAGCCCCAGTAATGGCAATCATACACAAAAAATATTTTGTCTGAGTGAGATAATAATATTTTCATGTGTTAGGCCACTGTAGATAAATATGTAATAAAATATATACAAACATTGTAAACACATATCTTTAAATATAAAAATATTTATATTTATATATTTATATGAAGCGGGCTGGGAAGGTGGCTCAGTGGTAGAGCACTTGCCTTGCATGCCTGAGGCCCTGGGTTCGATTCCTCAGCACCACATAAGCAAAAAGAAAAAAAGTCGGAAGTGGCGCTGTGGCTCAAGTGGTAGAGCACTAGCCTTGAGCTGAAGAGCTGAGGGACAGCACCCAGGCCCAGAGTTCAGGCCCCACAACCGGGCCCCCCCCCAAAAATATATATATATATATTGAAGCATATTTTCAAGTAATGTTATATGATTTCATTTTTTCTTTTTTTTTCTTTTTTTTGTCAGTCATGGGGCTTGAACTCTGGGCCAGGATGCTGTCCCTCAGCTCTTCAGCTCAAGGCGAATGCTCTACCACTTGAGCTACAGCACCACTTCTGGTTTTCTGGTGGTTTATTGGAGATAAGAGTCTCACGGACTTTCCTGCCCGGCTGGCTTTGAACCAATATCCTCAGATCTCAGACTCCTGAGTAGCTAGGATTACAGGCGTGAGCCATCAGCGCCTGGCTTCATTTTTTCTTATATACGAATTTTGCATTGCTCTTCTCTGTACATATTTTTTCTTTTGAAGGAAGTTTTAAGAAATACTTTATTTCACTTAACAATTTCAATCTAAACCCTTCCTTTAATATGGTATTTTCAGGATTAGTAGGATTTATTTTTAAATATCTTATTACATCTTGTTAACTAAGCTTGTTAGATTCTCTGCATAGATTGTTTACTTTTTACTAGTCTCTGTGGGGTTAATTTGTCACCATTAATAGATGCATTTTCTCTATTCTGTGTTGAATACTCCAGGGTTTTCTAGTAAGACCAAACACTGCTAACAAAACTACATTATAATCTTGTCTTAGAATTGTCTCCATCATATATGTCTGAAGCTTTATAAAGAATATCAGTGTAAGAAATAACTTTTGAAAGACTATGTTACCAAATATCTTAGTAAAACTAATCTTAGAACCTTAGATTTTTAAGCATCTTTTTTCTCTCGAATACTCTTTTACTTATGAAAGATATGTGTAAAACAGGATTCTTAACAATACCTTTTGTAATAGAACTTTTTGTGTGTGCTAGTACTGGGGCTTAAACCTAAGGCCTTATGCTCTCATTTGACTTTTTCTTACTTAAAGATGGTGTTCGATCACTTGAGCCATATTTCTGCCTCCAGCTGTTTTGGTGGTTCATTAGAGATAAAAGTCTGCACACTTTTCTGTCTGGGCAGGCTTTGAACCACAGTCTTGTAAGATTACAGATGTGGGCCACCAGCATCTGGGAAACTTTTTAAATGGTACTTTTTTCCTCTGGCACAGTTTAAAAACCTAAATACAACAAAATTCACTTCTCCACTTGTCTACGAGCAAATTTAGATGTTTGACATATATGTATATATACATATCTTTCATATATACAGTACTTACGGGAAGAAGGACTGATAAATCCTAATTAACTAAAACAAACACTTTTAGTGGAGCAGTACTCAAATTTGACGTGTTTTTGTAAATCTGGTAAAGTGTTGAAATGTTGTTTTGAAACATTAAAGGATATTATTTCTACTTTTTATTTTTAATTCAGTTTCATCAAATTGGTAATGCTTAATTGTACGTGACAACTAATTAAAATAGTGAGGGTTCTTTCCACTAATCTCCATGTTGTCACTATATATCAGGTACCACATGCTTTTGTACCTTATAGAGTTTTAATTAATATAACTAAGAAGTTCTTAATAGGAAGAGCTGGAGCCAACATCTGAACAGAAATCTCTCATTCACAGCAAAGCCTCTGCTTTTGTCTGGCTCCTTGGTACTAAGGCCAATTTCAGTCAAGTGGTTTTGAATGAGGAGAGGGTGTTTTATTTGGGGAGAAGAGCAGAAAATACTGCTTCTTCAGCCAGGTGCTGGTAGCTCATGCCTATAATCCTTGCTACTCAGGAGGCTGAGATCTGAGGATCACGGTTCAAAGCCAGCCCGATCACTGTTCAAAGCCAGCCCGGGCAGGAAAGTTCGTGAGACTCTTATCTCCAATAAACCGCTAGAAAACCAGAAGTGGTGCTGTGACTCAAGCGGTAGAGTGCTTGCCTTGAGCTGAAGAGCACAAGGACAGCGCCCAAGCCCAGAGTCCAAATCCCACTACCGACAAAAAAAAAGAGAAAATACTGCTTCTTCAAATAGATTAATCCCTTGGTATCCCCAGGGGGGATAGAAAGGGGGACTGGTTCCAAAAATGACTCCTGGGAATACCCAAGTCCACGGGTGCCCAAATCTCTTATATAAAATGCTGCATGAATTATATATAAATTATATCCTCTCATATACTTTAAATCACATCTATATTATTTATAGTATCTAAATATAGGTCGTTGTTATACTGTGTTCTATTTAGCATAATACAAGATTCTTGTAATGCTTATAGGTAAAATTTCTACTTTTTTCTTTTGACAGTGGTGCTAGGATTTTAATTCAAGACTTTGTACTCATGAGGCAAGCACTGTAACACTTGAGCCATCCTCTAGCCTTTTTTGTTTTGGTTATTTTTGAGATAGAGTCTCATTTTCTTGTCTAAGCTGGTCTGGACTATAATCTTCCTACATATGTTTCCTGCCTTCAATGAGACAGGCACACCACTACATCCATCTTTTTTATTTGTTGAGATGGGGTCTTATGAACTTTTTGCCTGAGTTGGTCTTGAAACAGGAACCTCCAGATTTTAGTCTTCAGAGTAGCTAGGATTACAGGTATGAACCGTTGGGTCATGCTATAAATCGAATTTATTTGTTTTTCAAGTATTTTTGATCTCTAGTTGGTTGAATCCTTCGATATAGAGGTCCGACTATAATTCTTCTCCATCCTAACAACCAAGACCACAATTCTCTTCGGAGCATTACATAACGTATTTGCTTTTTTCTCTCTTGCCCTTATATTTCTTAGTTATTACAAAGGATGGAAAATGTTTGTAGAGATTGCTGAGGCATTGATAGGACAGAATTACAGAAGTGCAGCTTGAGAACCTTGATCCAAAAGAATCACAAGTCATGCCACAAAGGAGATTATCTGTGTTATCAGCAAGCAGGAGGGCCTGAATTTCATGGCATTGGCATGCTCTGAAACAATATTCTTGGCTATCTAATATTCCAGCCTACTTTTCATATAACAAATCAGGGAATACTGGGTTAGAGTATTTATATTATTATTAATACATTATGTTATTATTTATATTTACATGACTGGAGTATAAAGAACTAAACATGAGGGAGAACTTGTGTTTTACTTTTTTCTGATGGCATTTGTTTTAAGGTGAAATGCAAACTAAAAAATCATTCTATATTAGAGAATATAATTGAGATTGCTTAAGTCAGACTGCCATCAACATTGCACAGGGATCTCTGAATATTCCAGAATTGCAACAGTCCTTTGAGCCACTTGTTTCTTTTTTTTACACTGCTGGTCTCATTACAGAACACTGTTGTCTGCCATTGTTTCTGACTACTGATAACCACAGAATAATGGCTATATATACAGTTTCACTCACAAAACTAGCAAAACTTGATACCTTCAAGAGAAATAATGTTCACTCTATGTTTAATATTAAGTGTAAGTTTCATTACCACCATCTGCAAAGCCAGTTGCAGTGATAATAGGTATGGCCACCATAATTAGTCCACAGCTGCTCCAAACATACTTCATCAAGAACTGCTCTATCATGATGTACCACAAGCGTTTGGATAAAATCAGGTTCATCTGATCTGCTAAAGCTTTGTAACTTTGCTGGAGTTGCTTCATTTCTACCTATAGAGGGAAAGAGATAAGAATTAATCCAGCATTAGCTGCAAAACAATCCACTGCAACTGAGGATTTTTCTCTAAATGTTCTAGACATATTAAATCATTTTGATTACTGTAGTAAACATTATTGGTGAGTTTTACCAGTAAATGCAGATTACTATTAGAATTAGTCATTGTTTAGTTTGGGTTATATATGTATTATTTTTTAAACATGCTATACAATAATATAATGAAAACATAATGTTAACATAATGAAATATCTACTAGTGAGCAGAGGGTTGGATTCAGTGGTAAAGTGCTTGCCTAGCATGCATAAGGCCCTGGGTTCAATTCTCAACACTACTAGATAGATAGAAAGATAGAAATACCGATAGTTATTTATGTGTGTATAGACACGTGTACATGTATGTGTGTAAATATATATGCAAGTACATATATACACAAGTACGTCTATATACACAAATTATAATTGTTGCTTCAAATTCTCTATGATATTAAGATTAATATTCTCTAAGACCCAAATAAACAGAGTCAAATGTTCTTGAACACTCCAAAAGTATCTAAACACAACCACATAACAAATAGAGTTACACATCTCTTTTGAATTGGCTCAGTGCTCTTTTGTGCAACAAACAGCACACTGTAATTTACATCAAGTTCAATGATTCAAAAACAGTAACAAATCAGCAGTAATTCAACATATGAGGCCAATTTTCAAGCAGGAGTAGAGGTCCTAACATTGAAACTTTTTTCTTCAGGCTGTTTTTTAAACAACTCTGATAACTATTGATACATTAAAAAGTAAGCAATTCTGCCTGATACTTAAAATACTATCTTCAGATCTAAAACACCTTACCATGTCTTTTGTCAAGGCATCTGTATGCAGATTTCAGATGTACCACCTTCAAAATGCCTGACCTACGTAACCTCCATTCTGAGGTTCCTGTCGGGCACTACAGTTTTATGTAATTGTGCTAATTGTTTGGAGGACCTGCTTATTACTTCAAGATCTTCAATACTGAAAAGCAGTATCCTAAAATTCCCCCCCTCCCCCCCCTCCTGCCCAACACACACACTTGCTTCCTCTTTAGTTGCAGCTTTTTTCTCACCGCTGGCAGTATTTAATATCACTTCCTCTTTTTATCATATGTCAAAATTTGGTGCTGAGCAGGAACTAAGAGTAATGGAAATGTCATTCTGTAAAGCCCTCCCCTGCATTTCCTAGAACTTAAAAGGCTCCATTAGGGGCTGGGAAGGTGGCTCAGTGGTTAAAGCGCTTGCCTTGCATGCCTGAGGCCCTGGGTTCGATTCCTCAGCACCACATAAGCAAAAAGAAAAAAGCCAGAAGTGGCGCTGTGGCTCAAGTGGTAGAGCGCTAGCCTTGAGCTGAAGAGCTGAGGGACAGCGCCCAGGCCCAGAGTTCAGGCCCCACGACCGGACCCAAAAAAAAAAAAAAGGCTCCATCACTGGACAGACCTCAGAGTTGTCAAAACTCCTACATGAAAGCATGGCACCCTTTCTCTTCAAAAGCAAAGGAGCAACACCAACCAGGAATAATACCATCCTACGTGTTCCATCCAAGCAAAGGAGTTTACTCTTAGTTTACAAATACATACTTCCTTCACCTTCACTAGAACCGCTTAACCAAGTTAGTATTACAAGTTTGGAGAAAATGCTTTGGAGATAACTTTGCTTCTGTTTGTATAACTGAAATGATGTAGACTTTCCTGTTTAAACTCCATTCTAGTGAAACTTTAGAAAAGTTGGCAGTTTATAATTCTTTAACAGCTTGTGATTTAAAAGGCTAATGAGGTCTGTAGCTTTAACAGAAATTTAAGGATCAAAGGGATCTAAAATTCTAAGGAAGTAGGTCCATTAACAGTGCAACAGAGAGACAAAGGGCCCATGTTTTACCTCTGTGTGGAAAATACAAACATACATGAAAACATAAGACAGGTTTCTATGCATTATCTACACAAATAAATTGACCAGAGGATGTCAAACTAAGGAGAGGAGTCCGATGGTGTAACTCGTCTGAACAAGTAAGTGCTTAACAAAATGAATACCAGGAAGCTGAACTATGTTTTTTTTTTTGTGGGGGGGGGGGGGGGAAGGACAAGAATAGAGGAAGGAAGGGTGAGCAAATACAGTCCTTATATTCAGCATACATTAGGTAAAAGTTGAACCATGTCACTTGAGGGTATGAAATAACAAGAACAGCAGCAAACACACACACACCCCCAACCAATATAACAGATGGTATTAACTGCTTGCACAGGCTGCTTGAACCGTCTCACGTTTCACCCATAACCTTTCAAGCCCTATCTTACCTTATGTCCTCTGTAAAAAGCAATCTCTTCCACGTTGGCTATGATTCTAGAGTGCACATAACGCAAATAGCCTTTCCTGTGCGCCTCTTCTGCCACCAACTTCCCAAATTTGGGGGAGCAGGCTTTCAGCACCTTCGCAGTGGCATACACCACAAGTCCCGCCAGGAGGGTGGGCTCCAAGGGGCTTGCTCCCCTGGACACGGCCGTCTGGATGAGCGTATAGGAGGTGAGGATGACGTCTAAAATCGGTTTGGTCAGATTGGAATACAAGTGGGCCACGGACTGGGAGAACATCATGATATCTTCAGTCAGAGACTGGTCAGGATTGGTGAGCCTCCCATCCATATTGATCACCTTGTAATAGGTCTGATTTGTAAAGTAGGTTTGATAGGCGTGATGGACGAGGCGCGTTCGGAAAGCCAGCGCCAGCTTGCACTCCAGGTACCGTATGGCACTGTTGACGAAGGTGGCAGGAATGGCAATCAGGAGCCACTTGATCAATTGGAAGATGAAAGTCCGGGACTGCTTTTCCACGATGCTCTTCACGATCTTCCCATCCAGCCTGGCCACATAGATGGACAGGAAGGTTCTCGAGATGAGAGCCACCGAGTGGAGGCACAGCCAGCCGGTTTCCGTGCTCACAAGTTTGGGAAAGAGAATCTTCCGAAGTTGCAGCAGCTGCCTGCAGAAATCCGCGTTCAACCCGGGAGCGGGTTTCCCGCACCGGGTCTGGGCGCAATGCGGTCTTCCCCGGCCCTCTCCAGCCGCTCGCTCCCCGCGGCCGGCCGGCTTCTGCTTCAGGCGCTGGCCGACCAGGGGACCGAGGGTCTTGAGCGCGTACGCCGCGGCCAGCAGGCAGGCGGCCCGCCGGGCGGCGCCGGGCCGGGTCCACTTCCCGCGGTGCGCCGCGGCGTGCAGCATGGGCAGCATCGTCCCCCGCGACCCGCACCCGCGGCTGCGATCACAAAGGCTCCGCGGGAACGCCCAGCCCGGGCCTCGGGAGCTCCTCCGGCATCCTACGGAGGCGCAGCCCTCCTCCTCCTCCTCCACCGTGCACGGGCGCGCTCCGCGGTGCGCCGCCGCCGCCGCCGCCGCCGGGGACCGAGAGAGCGAGCGGGGCCGACTCCGCCGCTGCCGCCGCCGCCGCGACTGCGGGGAAGATTCCCCCGGACGCCCAGCCGGCCAGGCCCCGCCCCCTGGACCCTCATTGGCTGCCGGGGCGGGAGGGGCGGGGGAACCTCCGAATCCTCCTGGCCTTTCCCTGCGAACCTCGGAAAGGAGGGGGCGGGGGGGGGGGGGGGGGAGCGAAGCGAAGGACATCCCTACACAGGAGTTGGGGGGAGTTAAAAAGAAAGTCTATTTTGGGAGAGGTCGAATCAGGCCAGCCTCGGGCTGGCCACTGAGCATGCCCAGAGTCACTCAGAAACCCACAGAACTTTGAGACTACACACCCCAAGCAGGGGCTTTACTGAGCTCCGGGGAAAGCGAGCTGGGAGAGGAGGGAGGAGGGACCAAAGACACACCATGTAAAAATCAGTGTGGAGAGAGCGCAGGGAGACAGAGACGAGCTGGCAGGGGCGTGGGAGGAGAGAAAGAATCCAAGATAGAAGACTTGGGAGCCCGGGTCTGGTTGTGCAATTGAGGAAGTTCTCTGTAAATAAACAGGAGGAAAGTCTTCGGTGTTAAGAAAACAAGTAAGAAAATTCTTCGCCGCTCCTCTAGTCCCCACCCACCTCCACCTTTACCTCTGCGCGCCTGCACTTTGCTTGCCCTTTTACAAAAATGGATCTAAGCATCATCTTGGTCTATTTTATCGTAATTAGAAAGGTGATGTGCAGAGGAGCTGTACAGTTACATGAGTTAGGTAATCAGTCCTTATCTTTTTGATCAGTGTCACCTCTTCCCTCCTTTGCTCCCTGCTGACCTCTCCCCCACATGTATAGTTCTTTTTCAACAGAGTGTCTAGTGACTACCACTGCTGCATTTGTCCACCCTTTGTCCCACCATTTCTGGGCTCCCATAAAAACCTTCCAGCTCCCTACCTGTTTTTGTTTTGTTTGCAGAGCATCGAGATAGTAAGCACTTATGTTTTTTTACGCGGGGACTAATGAACCAGACTGGAGTTTGACTTCTACTCTTTTCCTTTGTACATTTACTCCCAGAGGCGTGTAGCACTATAATCAAAATGTAACCATCTGGAAAACCAACTGGATTCCTTTCAAGAATTCCAGTGTCTCCTGGAAGTTTCTGGTTGTGTGTGTGTGTATGTGTGTGTTTAAAATTAGAAGTACTCTAATGGCTACTTCCTATTTTTGTTTTGGCTAGCTGATAAAAATCATGATTATTTATTTATTTTTAAAGTCGCCTCCCTAATGGGACTTCAACTATGCAATAGTTAAGCGAAATTTTGTCACATTTAACATGTGAAGTGCAATTTTTAGGCAAGACTGTGTATTTTTAAATCTGAAAAAAAAAGCATGTTTTTAATCTCTCTCCACTTCCTCCTACAACATATATACAAATTTCTAGTAGGAAATGAGCCAAGTAATGGAATCCATGCTAGGCAATAACTCTACCCCTAAGCTGCAACCCCAGGTCCCGGCACACAGACACATTTACTTCTTGTCCAAGGATTATTTTAGTGCTGAGGTTTTGAAGTTAGGTTGTTATACTTGTTAGTCAGGTCCTTTACCACTTGAGTCTTGTGCACAGCATTTTTGAAGCTGTACTGGCAGAATTGAATGTATGGAACAGACTACATACTACAGACTATCTGACCCTTTACAGAAATTAGCAAGCCTCTGGGCTAGAATATGAAAAGTATTTTTTTGTTTTGTTTAGTTTTGTTTTGCCAGTCCTGAGGCTTGAACTCAGGGCTTGAGTGCTGACCCTGAGTCATTTTGTGCTCAAAGCTAGTGTTCTACCATTTGAGCCACAGCACCATTTCCTGCTTTTTCTGAGTAGTTTATTGGAGAGAAGAGTCTCATGGCATGGACTTTTCTACCCAGGCTGGCTTTCAGCCAGGATCCTCAGATCTCAGCCTCCTTAGTAGCTAGCTAGGATTACAATTGTAAGCCACTGGTAGCCAGCCTTTTGATAGGCGGCCGGTGGGGGAGGGGCAGGCTGTAAAGTGAAAGACTGAAACATAAGCATTACCGTTTCACAAAAACAATTGAAGAAAAAAAACATTTGAATACTTACTTAGGGTTCATTTCCCTAACATCAACTTATCTGACCTTTTCTGCTTGACTCAGACATATACTAGTTATTGCAAATAAGGGAAACCATGGGACCTATGTTTCTTTGGGCCTGGCTTACTTTCTAACACATTTATAAGATTATTTCTTTGTTGTTTGTATGTCCCTCCCCCACGGTATAACCCCTGCTTTCACTGTATTTGATGTCAGTACAATTTGTGGAGGGGAAGGGAAAAAAGAAATCGTTTAAATAGGGATACAGGTGCACCCATTGCAACAATGAGATGTACAAATCATTTTGTCGAAAACGAACTTTACAACTTTGGTGGGGTGGGGGGAGGATGGGAAGGGGAAACAAAGGAGGAGGCTACAATGCTTGATAAGAAATGTACTCATTATCTTGCCCATGTAATTGTAACCCCTCTGTACAGTATTTTCGCAATAAAAAGAAGAAACAATTGAAGAAAAGAACAGGACGCTGGTGGCTCAAACTTGTAATCCTAGATAATCAGAAGGCTAGATATGAGGATCGCTGTTCAAAGCCAGACTGACAAGAAAGTCTGTGAGACTTATTTATTTAGGAAATGAAACCTGGAAGACATACACTTACAGGGTCATTTCTTTCTTTCTTTTTTTATTTTTAAATTTAATTTAATTAATTAATTTATTTATTTTTGCCAGTCGTGGGGTTTGAATTCTGGGCCTGGGCGCTGTCCCTCAGCTCTTCAGCTCAAGGCTAGCACTCTACCACAGCGGTGTGCCACAGCGGCACTTCTGGCTTTTTTCTGCTTATGTGGTGCTGAGGAATCGAACCCAGGGCCTCAAGCATGCAAGGCAAGCGCTCTACCACTGAGCTACCTTCCCAGCCCCTTTCTTTTTTTTTAATGGGGTGGTGGAGGAAAGAAAGACCCTATGGTTGGGACTGTGCTGCTGCTACTGCTGCTGCTCCTCCTTCTCCTGCTTCTTCTTTTGGCAATAGGACAATTTTCTATTCTAGCTTGATGGCCTTTATGAAGTTCTTGGCAGTTCTTTGTATCTAAAGGTATGTTATTTTGTGCAAATGCCTGTATCTGAATTCTTTTATCTAAGGTCATAGATTAATATCTTTTATTTGGTCAATAAATGTGACATACAGGTAATATATTCAAAGATTATATCATAATTCGTGAAAGCTTTAATGAATTAAACAGAATGCAAACAATGGATGGATCTTATTTTTGATACCATCTGTTATGCTTTTTTGGTTGGAGAATTGAGTTCATTAATATTTAGGGTTATTAGAGAGAGAGTGTATAGGGAAAGGTGAGAAGGAGGTATGGCCACAGCAGATGCAGAAGTGACCTCAAACCTGGGTCACAGTCAGGTGATTGAGAGTTACAAGTGATTGACAGTTTTTTCCAAGGATTTCTGATAAGGCAGTGTGCTGCCCTTCCTTAAGTCAGGGAGGGGAAGGGAGCTGTTCTGCCGGGCAAACCAGGACATTGCACTTGCTAGGCAAGCTACATCCCAGCCCTAAAACACGGCTTAGTGTTGGCTGATCTTAACGATTCACTTAGTCATGACTAAAAACTATTCTTACTTCCATAAGTATTAATATAGATACCTGTATCTATAGAGACATGTATTTATATTCTCTATATAGCTATCTATCTGTACTTCTTTATGGGCTCTATATATTCACATAAACCTATATTTATATCTCTGTAGATGTATATAGATACATATTTTTGTTGCCAGTACTGGGCTTGAACTCAGGCCTGGGAACTCGCCCTTAGATTTTTCAAGATGGGCACTCAACCACTTGAGCAACTCCTCTATTTTCAGCATATTGTTGGTTAATTGGAAATAAGACTCTTACTCACTTTTCTGGCCAGGCTGGCTTTGAATTTTCATCCTCAAATCTCAGCCTCCTGAGTAGCTAGGATAACAGGAGTGCGCTACAGGGCCTTGTTTGAATATCAGTACTCTTCTTTTTTTTCTTTTCTTTTTTTTCTTTTTTTGCCAGTCCTGGGGCTTGAATTCTAGGCCTGGGCACTGTCCCTGAGTTCCTTTTGCTCTAGGTTAACACTCTTTTACTTAAGCCAGAGTGCCACTTCTGGCTTTTTCTCTGATTAATTGGAGATAAGAGACTCATGGACTTTCTTGCCTGAGCTGGCTTTAAACCAGGATCCTCAGATTTCAGCCCCCTATGTAGTTAGGATTACAGGCATGAGCCACTGGTGCCTGATGGAATATCAATATTCTTTTTTTTTGGGGGGGGGGCCTGGTTGTGGGGCCTGAACTCTGGGCCTGGGCACTGTCCCTCAGCTCTTCAGCTCAAGGCTAGCGCTCTACCACTTGAGCCACAGCACCACTTTCTGGTTTTTTTCTTTTTGCTTATGTGGTGATGAGGAATCGAACCCAGGGCCTCAGGCATGCAAGGCAAGCGCTCTACCACTGAGCCACCTTCCCAGCCCAATATCAATATTCTTAAGCTTAAAAAAAAATTTAAAAACCCCTCTTTCTTTGCTATATACTCATATTAAATCTGAGAATCTTCATTTGCATTCAGTTCATTAGGTTTGCTAAAACATAGGTGACTAATTCATGCGATTCTCTTTGATAGCTGAGCATATCAGCATCACACTCCACTGTCCTAATCAAGGATTTTCCAAGTCTGCATGTGAAGATCATGGGATCATAGTGGTTATAGTAAAAAATAAAAATAAGTGCTGGGAGTGTGGCTCAGTGGTAGAGTGCTTG